CCTCCCCCGGCGATAAATAATGACCGATCCCTTAACCCTTTAACTCCTATGAGTGACCAAGACAGAATTTCTCCGTACAACATCAATACAATATCAACCAGATAAGAGATGAGAATAAATAAAAATATCAATTAGGGGATTATAAATTGATGCAATACCGAATTCTCCAAACTAACATCACAAGAACTGTGTAGTAGACAGTAAGGAGAATTACTAATGAGATCTTGGGAGTTAAAGTATTAATGTAAGTAGTTCGTATAGTGAAGTGCCCCACACACCGTTTATCCCCAGAGTAGACAGAGTATACAGAAACCTAAAGTTAATTTTTTTTAACACAGGGGAATGTGGAGCAGGAAATAACTGGGCGAAAGGTTTTTACACAAATGGATGCAATCTCTTGGAAGAGGTCTTGGACGCGGTGCGAAAAGAAGCCGAGGGATGTGACTCGATCCAGGGCTTCCAAATTGCCCATTCCCTGGGCGGCGGCACGGGATCTGGGCTCGGTACTCTGATACTTTACCATCTACAAGAGGAATATCCAGATCGCATTCTGAGCGCCATCAGTGTTTTTCCTTCGCCGAAAGTTTCTGAGATTGTTATTGAACCTTATAATGCCACTCTAGCTGTTCACCAGCTGATTGAGACCACTGATGAAGTGTTCTCGTTTGATAATGAAGCGCTTTACGATATTTGTTTTAGGACGCTTAAACTTGGCACCACAACGTACTCGGATCTGAATCATATCATATCGACGACCATGAGTGGGGTTACCACCTGTCTTCGTTTTCCCGGACAGGTGAGTTCAAGGTGTAAAGAGGTCCTTCAAATAGAGCAAGTCAGGTTCCCTTAAGTGTCAAAAGTAGTCCGGGATTGAATTGCTAGTTTTTTTTTACTACGTTCTGTGATTGGTAAAGAATACTAACTCCACCTTCTCAACCAGTCAGTCACACCATATTAAAATAATGGCTACCCATGACTGGATTGTTACCTTGCTCGTTCACATATATTTGCTTTGGATTCTCGCCAGCTTCACCATGCGAAGTTCACCCTAGCTCTGATCGGTCTTTGTAATTACTTTGATCAAGGAGTGCTTTGCGGTAGAGTGAAGTAAAACCAAACCAAAATTATCGTACTGTGTAAATCACACGGAACCAATGAGAACTTACATAAACCTCCTGCGGCCCCTAGAGCGTGAGTTGTCTGGTCGCAGATGGTTTTAATTTCGTTCTGATTGATTGAGAAAGTGACTTGAATGTTATTGATCAATTAATTGGTAGAGTGGAGCAAAACTGACGCAATGACGTAATGCAAAAGAAATTTTAATCCTCACAGTGCGTCTCCCTTGAATTCAGGTTGTGGAATAAGCCTAACTCGACTTGTTTTTCTAGTTGAACGCGGACATGCGCAAATTGGCCGTGAACATGATTCCTTATCCACGCCTTCATTTCTTTATGCCTGGCTTCGCACCGCTGACCAGCAGGCAGTCACAGATTTTCCGCAATCTGACAGTTAGTGAACTGACACAGCAAATTTTTGACGCTAAGAACATCATGATTGCATGTGATCCTAGAAATGGTAGATACCTTACCTATGCCGCTATGTTTCGCGGCAAAAAGTTATCAATGAAGGAAGTTGAAGACCAAATGAAAAGCGTTCAGGACAAGAACTGCGGACATTTTGTGGAGTGGATTCCACATAATGCTAAAGTTGCGGTTTGCAATGTTCCTCCACACGGAATGAAAATGTCGGCCACATTCATCGCGAATAACACAGCTATACAAGAACTTTTTAAACGACTCAATCTGCAGTTTAAGGTTATGTATCGCAGGAGAGCATTTTTGCATTGGTTCACTGAGGAGGGAATGGACGAGATGCAATTTAAACAGGTGAGAAATTTTTTCTTGATTAAATTGCTATCGCTGATGTGTTGGGAATATTTTTGAGTTACCGTTCCGAGGGGGGAAAATATTGCAGGGACACTCTCTGTGGTCGGAACATCTCTATTTAGGGACACATTTCTTCTGGCTTTGGGTGTGTCACGAATGAAGGTTCCATTTTACTATCACCGTCATCGAAGGGACATTCTATAAAGAGGGCACTTTTTCTAATCCTGAGTGTGTCCTGATTGGAGTTTTCGTTTCATCTGTTACCTAATTAAGGAGATACTCCACGTTTAGGTAACACTTTTATGAGTCCCGAAGAGACGCTCTACTGTAATTTAGAGGTCTGGATAAATTTTGCACTTTGAACAAAAAGCGCAACTTTTGTCCCCTTAAGGACGGTCACATGGACTTTTCCCTTTCCCTAGGAAGAGCTTAACCAGTGGAAGGTGTGGTTACATATTGATTATTGCGTTCAGCTGATTTGTATGAGCAAGAGATACTCGAAACTGCTTCATGTTTTTGATGCATGATTAAGATTTTGAAGAATGGACGGACTTGCTTTTGAATTTCTTCAATGTCGCTTTTTCTCTTTGCAGGCGGAGTCTTGTATGTTGGACGTAATTTCTACGTATCAACAATGTCAGGATCTTAAAGTCGATACAAGTCTTGATAACTTAGAAATTACGGACTTAGAAGAGTTTGAGGATTCTCTCGAATCATGGGACTGTTTAGATGGTCACGTGAACGGTCGCGCGAACAATTTGCCTCTCGTGACAGCCGGTCAGTGACTGTTTGACCAATAAAGATTGCTTTGGTTTGCCTTATTTTTGCATTTAAGGCATGAGGCGCCATATTTGGCGTTCATGACAACCGTAGTATTTGGCGTTTATGAGTAACGTAATATTTCCTGTTCGATCACACTAGTTTAACAAATAAATAAAATCTTTTTCATATAAGTGCTCTTTCTATTTGTTATAATTTATCTATAACTTTAAGTTCTCATTTCAAGACCCGTGTCGAACCATTGATCCACCCCTGATGAATCTTGAAAACTACCGAAAAGGTTCGTGATCTTTGGAGGATATCGGTAGCAAAAAAAACTACAACACAACTGCATCTGTATTTCAGATGGCAAGAGACAAGCCGACGTGACTCAGACCGCGCGGAAGGAAGATTGTGAATGGGGGGGGAGGGGAGAGAAGGGGCTGTAGTCCCTTCCATTCTCACGCACCGATGTCATTGACAATCAAAAAGTTAGAAAACTATTCCATGAAAATTTGATGCAAAAAAATTTGCAGCTGCCACAACTAACAGAGGTAGAGAGTGACACGATTTTCAGTTCTGGATTGTGTTTGTTTAATTCGTAATGTAGCGTGATATACAACAGGATGCACTGATAGTACTTTCCGTTTTCGCGCACCCTCAGATAATTTAGGGCTCCACCATTACATGTTGTAAATCAGTTGCGAAAAAAACTTTCAAGATTGGAACAATAGGCTGTCATTGTATCAAACTTATCATCCAATATGAGTTCTTCAACTTACACGGCTACAACTGGTCCAAGAATTGTTATTTCTTTTCTTCAAATTCTAGAACATTAATTTTTCCAATCACACTTTTGTTTCAAAACCCTATATTCAGCGGGGGTTCGAGAACTCCTTCCACCAGCGGCTGTCAGTAGTGTGATGATGGCTGTGCCCGAAAAGGGACCGAGAGCCTGCCTGGAGGCTAAGCAGACGGCTAAAGATGTCTTAGGTCCTACTGAGTAACTGTAACTGAAATGGTATTGTTAAAGGAGAAAATTGGCATCTAGCAAGAATTTTCGGCACGTGTGTTTTAACTTATCTAAGTGTTGGAGAATTAATGGAAAACATATATTACCATAAGCCGTTCAGTAAAAATTATAATAAGCCAGTTGATCATTTCTTACTCCTTTTGGCGGTCTTATCTTACAGGTAGAATTTCAGTCACCCTTTTTAAATCGTGGTCGTGAATTTGACATGGAGACAGATGTTTTTACGTAAACTACAATTTGACACACACACTTTCCCTGAGAGATCTGAGTTAGTACCCGTTATAGTAACTTGTTTAGTAAAGGAGAGAATAAAGAAATAGTCAATAAAACGAGTGTTAGAAATAACATCTAACAGGCTTGTGTAGGACAATAAGAAATAAATAAATGAATAAAATAAAGCAAGGTTCGTCTAGTTCATTCAGTTACATATTGTCCTGACGTCGTTTGCGTGTACGGTGCTGGTCGATGTCCATAGGTTCTCTACTAGCCAAAGATTCTTGTCCACGTTCGGTAACATTTCGTTCTTCTGGTCTTTTCCACGCACGGTGTTTTGTCTCTGTCCATAGGTGTAGTCCAAGTGCGGAGATGACTGTCCACACACGATAACATTTCGTTCTTCTTCGCTGCGTGCGGAAAGTCTCTCCGCGCGCGAGAATTTTGAGTGCCTGTGGTCTTGTCCATGCAAGGCACGAATGTCCAAGCCCTATAAATTTCTCATCTTTGTTTTAGACCACGTACGTCATGGTTGTCTACGCACGAGAGTTCCCCTTCCTGTAGGGTTTTTTTTTTTCATACCTTTCTGCGGCTACTAGCTCAGATCTCTCAGGGAAAGTGTGTGTCACCGCTTATAAAGGTGACGCTTACTGAAGTCATTTTCCTTCGTAATTAAACACCTTTTTGCAACATAATGGCAATGTACCAATATTTAGCCGAAAATTGTAGTTTACGTAAAAACATCTGTCTCCATGTCATGTCAAATTCACGACCACAATAAGAAAAAGGTGACCAAAATTCTACCTGTAAGATAAGACCGCCAAAAGGAATGAGAAATGATCAACTGGCTTATTATAATTTTTACTGAATGGCTTAAGGGAATATATTATTTCTATTAATTTTCCAATGCTTAAATAAGTTAAAACACATATACAGAAAATTCTTGCTGGATGCCAATTCTTTCCTTTAACAATAACATTTCAGTTACAGGTACTCGGTAGGATCTGGGTACGAGATTACTGTCGCCAATATAACCGCTTGGCGGTGAAAGTTCTAGGAACGAAACTAAGGCGACGGTAGATTGCTTGCAACCGGCATTTATTGAGACCACTTCATTTAGATAAAAGAGAAAATCTCCAGGAAAATTTGCTTTTATGTGGGTACCGCCCATAAGTCTGTGTTCAACCCTGCACTTGACATAAACACCTACAATCAACACTTCGGCTGATCGTTATTTTATTAACAGAGTGTGAGTACAAAATGACAAATGCCCATGAAAAATATACCACGTCATTAGTTGCAAGATTTTGTGGCCTGGTTATCATATAATAAGATTTTGTAGCGGGTTATCGCGGTATGAATGCCAAGAAATCAACTGATCAACTAAGGTTTTGCAGGGAAAATTCCGCTGTAGATTCCCTTCACACTTTGCGAATCTCCTATGCTCTGTGTGAGAAGAGTTTAGGAGGGCTATGTCAAGAGAGAAAGACGCAAATGACAACAAAAAGAAAGTTGTCTTCAATCTAAAATAAAGTTCTCCCCGATAGTACGATATATGATTGTATGTACACATTTCTATAGGGAGAGTTCCGATACAACAGACTCATTATAAAGGACTGATATATAATAGTTTCTTCCTGTCGATGAATTAAAATATTACGACTGTGTTTAACAAGCGATTCTCTGATTTATGCAGCTTCGCCCTCTCCTTCCTCTTCTTCCTCGTCAAACTCTCCTTCGTCTTCTGCTGTGGCATCTTGGTATTGCTGATATTCAGACACAAGATCGTTCATGTTGGATTCGGCCTAAAGAAAAAATATATAGACTTCAGTGTCAGTCTACGAAAGTGACATAACTTTTCATACGCTGAAGCTCATGCTTACAAACTCCTCCAAAAGATCAGGATGCTATGGGTCATAGTTCGCGCATTTCTTTAATGTCAGACTAGAATTTTTAGTACCTAAATTACATTGATCTATTTAGTTTTTAACCAACCTCGTCCTTTTCTTACCTAATCGTCAAAGTATACTTTGCTTTTTTTTCCTCACAAGCAAGGAAATATTACTTGAGCAGAAATTGACTTTAAATCTTATTAAGTGGCTTTTCAAGTTGAATCAGAGGGAAAAAATACAAATAAATAAAGGAAGTGAGCTACAAGACAAAATGTTGGTTTACGTCAGTGAGAGTTATTAATTTAAAGATAATTTCGTTTTATCACACAAGTTGATGATGTAAACTGGCCATCGTAAAGAGTTTCTTAAGCTGACGTATCGAGCATTGATCCTTAGTCAGGGCATGCAAATGACGTAAGGTAAAGTAATGCTCGCTCAGTTAGCTAAAGAAATTCTTCTCGGTGGCTAATTTACATCATCAATTCGGTTAATAAAACCAAATTATCTTGAAAAAGAGATGTGCTTACCTCAGTGAACTCCATCTCATCCATACCCTCTCCAGTGTACCAATGCAAGAAAGCTTTGCGCCTGAACATAGCGGTAAACTGTTCGCTAATGCGTTTGAACAGTTCCTGGATGGCTGTGCTGTTGCCGATGA